GGCTCTGTACCTCGTCTCCTCAGCGACCGCTATGTACAAGGCTGGCAATCTTGATCTCCAAAACCAAGATTGACATGGATCCCACCCCAAAACATTCTACCACGAGCTCAAACCAAAATGTCCAGCGCGGGCGCCTGCCCGCAGAAGGAGGTCTTGGAATCCAAGGAAGGATAGGAGTCGTGGTCGATGCACTTCTGCTGGTCCACCAAGGTGAGGCCTGGGGAGGCGTCCACCACCCAGCCCAGGCCCCGTGCGCGGAGGCGGCTCATCATGAGGTCAAACTCCTCCTGGTCCACCACGGGCTTGCGGTGGTAGAAATTCACCGCTGCAAAGCGAACGCCCTTGGAAGCATCCTCGTAGTTCTTGCACTGAAACTCCAAAGTCCAGTTGTAGGTTCCGTTGGCTGCCACGCCAACGTCCACCACGGTGTTGGCGATGTTGGTCAGGTTGGGATTGAAAAATGAGTGGCCTGACCAATGGCCGAGGAAAACCCCGGGCCTCTCAGTGATGTTGAACTCCAAGTCGCAGACTGCATTCACGCCCTTGCCAGGCCCAATGTTCAGGGAGAACAAGTCCTTGTAGTTCTTTGGGTCCTGCGGATGGGTGTCCTTTTAGGTTGGACATAGATGGATTTCCCTGGTAGATGATTAAAACACCAGGTAAACCAGGGATCGCCATCTATTTTCCGAGCAAAACAGCCAAAAAGGACACCTGGTCCTGCGGATGCGGGGACTTCACCGAGCGCTGGCACGCGGCCTTGAGCGGCCACTGCCGTGGCTGGGTGGAGTCGTGGTAGGCCAGCTCATAGAAGACGCCCCAAAACTTCGTGAGGTCGAAGCTGGACTTCACAAAATCCGACTGCACCTCCAGCTGCGATGGGCAGGTCTTGGGGCAGTCCTTGGGGCAGTCCGCGCCCACACGGGCGATGCCCAACAGCAGCGCCAAAAAGAGCATGGACCGCACTAGCAAAATCCTCAAATTTCAGCGCGGCTCCGCGCCAGGTTGAGCCAGAATACTTTGCCAAGTCAAATCTGACCAGTCATCTTTCACATTGGAATTCGCTTGGCAGACAAGCACCCAAGCAGGTCATAGGTCATGGCACGCTCTCAAACGGAAGGGCCCTCACCTTGGAATAGCAATTCACGTCAAAAACTCATTTCGGGGTCCCACTAATTTGAGGCAAATCCAATTGTGCTTTCCACGTGATGCAAACCAACTGTTTGCCCATCACTGTCACGCAGACAAACACGACACCGACACAAACACAGACATACCGTCACCAAAATCATACGCAGAGACACAGACAGAGGCATGGAGTCGGACACACACACACACAGATACAGAGACACATGCAAAGACACAGAGGCACACATATACAGAGCCACAGTGACACAGAGAAACAGAGACACAAGCGCAAAGGCACGAAGACGCGGCGATATGAAGACACAAAGAGTCAAACAAAAAGAGAGAGAGAGAGAGAGAGAGAGGCAAAGACAAAGAGACGGAGAGACAAACAGGCAGGCAGAAAGACATACAGACACACAGACACACAGACACACAGAGACACAGAGACACAGAGACACACCAGACGACACACGCAACACACGCACACACACACACGCAAACACACACACACACACACACACACACAGACACCGCAGACATTGAGATACGCAAACATGCGCACATACACACACAGATGCATACACAACACAGGCGGAGACACTGGCGCAAAGGGAATCAGGGACACCGGACCACACACACACACACGCACACTCTGTGATATAAGCTTGGCATGTGGGAACCCACATTGAATGTGGGCCATCCACTTGTGCCTAGTCCCTTACCGACTTACTGCATCCTTGCCTAATTGGAAGGGCAACTGCCTTGTCAGATCAAGCGAGAAGCGCGCCCAGACTCCATTCACTGTTTGGTTCGATTCACATACGCCCCTTGGCGCCCACGTGAAGCATGGCGGATAGGGGGGGCTTTGAGGCGCAGCCAAGCGTAAGCGCGGAGCTCCAGCGGCGGCAGGAGCGGATCCTCTTCGCAGACCACGCCTTAGCTCATGATTGGGCCCGTTTTCAGCTCCCGCGCTAAAAGCGACTCACTTTTAGTGGGTTAAATGACAACTACCACTAAACAATAAAAGGCTAAAAGGCTAAAAGGCTAAGGAACCGGATGGCTGGGAGCCACCAAGATGAGAGACATGCGGACCAGTTGCCTACACAAATGATTGGAAGACAGGGAAGCATGTCATGGACTGAAAGAGGCGGACATCTTTGGCTACACCCTATCTTCAGGAACGCACGGAGGATGTTCAAAAATGGTTGGGTCACCCAAACAACAACACCGCTTCAACTTACTTCTGGGAAGTGCGATCTTGGGGCCAGAGGCTTCGTGCCAGTCCTTGGCATGGCCTTTCCGACACAGCGCGAAAGGTTGGATCTGTTCGCAGATTTGCTGCGCTCGGCTCCCATGCTCGAGAAGCCAGGCTCGCCCCTGACACGGAGCAACGCCTCAGAGCGGATCCAGAATTTGAAGCGACGCAGGGTTTTTGGCATGGGATTTTTCTGCAAATTTCACTATAAATCCAAAAGCTGAATTAAGAGATCCCCAAACAAAGGACCTTTATCATGGTGAGCTCGTCATACCCCCAGGTGAGCTTGCCACAAACTAGGCAGATTCTTCCGTTTTGGATAACCCTCGTTGTGCCAAACTGGTCAGTGGCTTTGGGAGTGGAAAAACAACGCAATGGGAAGTGGAAGAATGGAAGGCCCTTCCCACCTTCAGCCAAATGCCTTAAGGAATGCACCAAACACAAGTTGAACCCGCCATAGCTCAGATAAATTTCAATTAGGTCAGGATTCCCTGACCAGACTCCCAACTCCAGTGGTGCGAGCCATGTTGCTCCTAAGTTGACCAAAGCCTGGCAAATGATAGTGGTGCTCAGGTTTTCGGAGAGAGATTCCGATACAGCTGGATTCTTTTCAACCGATTCAGACGTGTACTGCAATCGAATGGTTTACAAAACCTATCTAAACCAGTTGAAGCCATCTGGGTGTGGCTCAAAATTAAAGAGCTACCGTTACGCAGGTTTTAGTCTTCGGTTACATTTACCAGTGCCATTTCACGTTTTTGACCCACAGCCATCGATTTCTGCAGACAAAAGTCACCGATCAATCGCCTCCGGTACAACCTCCTTGGCCAGGCAAGGCCCCGGCTCGGTGCGCATCGGCGATCTGCCTGAGCCGAGACTCACATGGTGAGCGAACGCTCCGCGTGTCTTCGTTTTGTTGATCAGTTTACAGGGAAACCAATGGGAGAACCATGAACTGTGGGGTCCGTCTACACCGGGAAACTCACGAGTTGCGGGGGTTTGTCTATTTTGACACATACGCACTTGAATCCGTGAAAGAGACACTCGGTGGCTTCCATGTTAGTCTGACGGCAGGTAACAGGGCTGCTGAAACATCAGCGCAAACACAACCAGGGCCTGCTTTACCAAAGATCCACTCATTTGATCCACTCAGCCTTCACGCGAAACTCTGATTCGGAATGTCCATGGTATTCCATGCCAGAAAAAGAGCACGCACGGCCTTGTGGAACAGATGGCTGTGGTTGTCAAAAATGTGGTAATTCCAAAATGGCTTGCCCTGGCAAATGGAAATAAGGACTAAACCTGCGGTCTAGTGATCTAATTTCGACCCATGATTATACCTCGGGAACTTTGCTAAAGCGGCGGGCTTTTAGATCGTCCCTGTTGGAAACTACCAAAGCCGAACGCATTCGTGCGTTTGACAAAGTTGGGTACTGATCTCCTCAGCGCCCGGCTCGGCCGGCCGCCGCTCCAAGGGCCGCTGGAACTGGGCGGCCTGCGAAGCGATGGACGGCTCAGCAATGTCGCATGTATCTTGAGATCTCAGGCCTGCAGAATATGTATGTAAATATATATATATATATACATATATATGGGAAACTGGGCTGTCCAAACTGATCCCCTCAAAGTTTAAAACAATTAGCGGGCTAAATTTGGCAACTTCCACACTCATCCCCCAAACAAAACAAAGAGGATGGCTGCGAAGACCTTGGGCACTGAAAGGAATCAAGTTGCGAGTCCCTCTACGCCCGGGCCCAATTTGATTTGGTACAAAGATCCCTCAGCGCCCGGGGGAGCTTTCGCATTCGATTCCGCTGCTGCACTTGGCCTCTTCCCTGGAGATGGGATTGAGCACAGGCCGTCTTTCGCCTTGCGCAAGCAAGAGACCAGGAAGAAAGGCGGCGCAAGTTCCAAGTGTTCTTGCTGGTGCTCAGTAGGGAATGAGGAAACACACCTGGGGATTCTTGAATAAGCCGAATAAAGGAAGCCATACAAAATGGTGTATCGGGAGCATTCCATTTCTCATTCCCGGCTGAGCACCAGCAAGTTCCGGAAACAAAGAGACACTCTTCGCAGAGACGTGCGATCCGTGCGGATTGCAAAGCGACCCAAGATCAGGTAGCTCTCTACACTGGAGGCACACCCTGTGCTGCATGTCTAGTTCTGCAATTCCTCCATTTGCGGATACGCCCCGTGGAAAAAAAACCTATTTCCAGTAGTGATAGCTTCCCTTTAAAACCAACAGGGGAAACGAAACTGAGCTGTCCTCGGATCCCCCACTAAAAGTTCAACTTTTCGTGGTTTAAATGGAAATCCAAACAAACTAAACAATAAAAGGCTAAGACGCTAAGGGACCGGATGGCCGGGAGCCACCAAGTAAACAATTGCCTTAAGCACATGAACGAGCTGCTCCCGAAGCTCAGCCCCCAGCGAGCAGGCTCTTGCATCGACAGCATGGTGGGGCCTCACGGTACTGCTGACATGGTCAACATGTGGCTGTGGGTCAAAAATAGGTAGAAATGGCACCCTGGTAAATGGAAACAATGACTAAAACCTGTGCACTGGTGGTTTAATTCAGCGAATGTTGGGCACCGCCAAGGGCCGTCCTTGAGATTGCAAGACAGAAATTGGAGTTGACACACTGGCTCAACCTATTTGAAGATACATCTGACCATATTGTCAGTCAACCTTCACCGGGTAATCTTGGGGACACCAAGTTATCCATCCCCTGCGGTTGCCTTTAGAGCCACGCTCACAAGGATCTGTTTTTGCCGTTGTTCAATCCAGGTACGAGTTTCTCTCAAAGGGAAAGCTACAAAGAGACTCCAGTAGAGAGGTTAGAATAAGGGTACCCTTTTTTCTGTAGTCTATTCTAGTAGGGGTTCACCCTCCCCCACAAAAGGGGAGAGCAGGGCTCCTAGCTGGGGGGGCCTAGGACTAGTTCCCCTTTGGTTTCTGGAAACAGCCTCAATGCACGCCCACTGCGCCAGGCCTGACTCCGACCGCCAAATGTCCAGGTCCTTCATTCGCCTTGGGTCTCGAACACGATGTGTAGCTTGGACCCATCCAAATAGGTCAAAAGGTCAGCTTTGGGCAAGTGAGAACGGCGTCCCGAGTTTCCACACAAAGCCGCGCTCTTCTTTGTCAGACACTCCAGCGCCCAAAGCTCTCAGGGTTCTCCTAAATTTCCCATTTGAACATTGCCCAGGAAAAGTCATGGGCCAAAGAGATGTTCAAAACCCCAGAGAAAAACCACTAGTTTCTTTTAGTAGAGAGGTTAGAATAAGGATACTGTTTTTTCTTCCTTAAACAAGAAACTAATATGTAGTCTATTTTAGTAGGAGAACCCTCCAGTAGAAAAAGGGTAAAAGGGCACTACTGGGGGACCTAGAACAAGGGACCCCGGTCCAGTCAGGAACTTGTCCCCTCTTGCGAAACTGAAGAGCTAGGCGTTCAGTAGCCCCCCTTACAGGAAATCACTTCTCGTCCAGCCCGTCTTGTGTACTTCGCTGCGTAACGGGCCCTGTCTCGTGTCTGTGTTCATTTATCCGTCCTGCCTCGTTCTGACCATCCATCGAGAACTTCGACCATCAGTCTATCTCTAGATTGCTTACCCGCCCACGTATAGCTGCGCTTGC